TGCAGTGGCCGGGGGCGGCCACTGCACTCCAGTCTGAGTGACAGAGTGAGACTCCAACTAAAAAAAAAAAAAAACATTACCCACCTCCAAAGGTTAGCGAGGGATGACATGGGCTGGCAAGGATGGGGTCCTTAGTAGGTGTCTGGCACATAGGGGACTCAAATGCAAGTCGGCCCTTGGAAAGAAGGAATGTGTGTGTGTGTGTTTTTTTGAGTTGGAGTCTCACTCCATTGCCCAGGCTGGAGTGCAGTGGCACACTCATGGCCACCTCACCATGGCCACCTCACGGCGTTGACCTGCTGGGCTCCGGCAATCTTTCCGCCTCAGCCTTTCAAGCAGCCAGAACTACAGGCGCACACTACCATGCCTGGTTAATTTTTGATTTATTGTAGAGACGAGGTATTGCCAAATTGCCTGGTCTTGAACCCGTGGGCTCAGTCAATCCACTTGCCTCGGCCTCCCAAAGTGCTGGGATTATAGGCTGAGCCATGGAGCCTGGCCTGGGAACATGCTTTACTGGGTACCACGGCAGCTCTATTCTGGAGCAGAGAGATTCTGAGGTCAGTGGAGAAACAGCTGTTGCCTAGGGCCACTGAGAGGGCTGGGATCACCTGCTGGGACAGAAGGCTTTCCTGGCCTTGCTAGAGCATGTGGTTAGTTTTGGTTTGCTCCTTTATAGATCTCTCTCTCTCTCTCTCTCTCTCTCTCTCTCTCTCTCTCTCTCTCTCTCTCTCTCTCAGAAAATCCACCTGAGGTCACCAGGGGAGAAGGGTATGGTGTGTTTTCACCCACTGTTTTCTCCATTCTCGTGTATATTATAGTCATGCTCATGCTGTCGTAGAAGGATGCACTGGTCATCTCTAGTGCAGTGCAGAAATGATCACAAGCTCACAACAAGCTTCCGAGTTACATGATATTATTAACCCTTTATACAGCTGAGGAAACTGAGACCCAGAGAGGTTATCACACACAGGGAGGAGAGGGTCAAACCAGGATTTGGCCACAGGCGTTCTGCCTCCAGAGATTCAGGTCTAAACCATATTCCGCTTCCTACAGACTTATAGAAGGACATATGTATATATTTAAATAAAGTCAAAACCATGTGTGTCACTTTACTTTTTTGTCACCTGATATTTCATAGGCATCTCTCCAGGCCAATGCATAGAATTCTAATTTATTCTGCATAATGGTTGCCCATTATTTCTTTCTTGCTTTTTTTTTTTTTTGAGTTGGCGTCTCACTCTGGCGCCCAGCTGGAGTGCAGTGGCACACTCATGGCCACCCCACAGTGTCAACCTGCTGGTCTCTGGCGATCCTTCTGCTTTAACCTTTCAAGCAGCCAGAACCATAGGTGCACACTACCATGCCCAGCTAGTTTTTGATTTACTGTAGAGACGAGGTCTTGCCAAGTTGCCTGGGCTGGTCTTGAACCCATGGGCTCAGCAATCCACTCCTCTCGGCCTCCCAAAGTGCTTGGATTACAGGCTGAGCCACTGAGCCTGGCCAGTTGCACAATATTTCATGTTACAACTTCACCATGTTATTTTCTTTTTTGAGGAGTTTCCAACTCCCCCCCCCACCAGTGCTGCACAAATATTCTTGGACATACATCCCTACACACTGGAACATTTATAAATAAACTGTGGATACAGACTTATTAGTCAAAGAGTACACATATTCAGTTGATATTACCAGATGGTTTCTCCCAAAAATGCTGTTAGCAATTCATATTTCCACCAGTAATGTATTGGGGCCTCTCCCCACCCCAGGAATGGATATTATCACTACTTTAATATAGTGTAAAGTGGGTGTAAAGTGATAGCTCCTTGTAACTTTTTTTTTTTTTTTGAGTTGGAGTCTCACTTTGTCACCCAGACTGGAGTGCAGTGGCTGCTCCCGGCCCCCCCAGCCTCGCCCT